AAAACCAAAAGCAAACCTGTACAGAAAAGTGTCAAAGCTATCGAAGATCCCCGCCCACTGTTCCTACAGTTTTTAACGTAGCAACTTATGCGCCAGAAATACGATTTAACAAAATTTGATAATGGCTTACCTCTTGGATGGCGAATGTTCAACTGTTACGACAGGCTCCACACCCGCGGGACACTCTGCGGGATTTCCTAGCTTGTCCCGTAATTGTACTCTAAGCTTTTGGCTCAGTTGTTTCTTGCTGTCACATTCGATTTCCACAGAAGCCGTTTCACTAGAAAAGAGCCACTTCTGAGGTTCACCTGATGATGAAATAAGACAGCACAGGTTCTACCACAAGGAAAATCTACTTCAAGAAATACATCAAACACGAAAGACCGAATTTGATCAGATTTTCAAACAGCGAGAAAAACGTTGAAACTTCGAGGTGTTTGGTAATGTGTGATCAAACAGTGTCTTGAGTATTTAATAAATCTTCTCAATCGAAACTAAAACTAAGGAGAAAACGGAGAAATAGAATCGTAAACATCTATGCTGATTGAGATCAGAGATCCAAACACCGTCTCGGTCATGAAAGAATTATTAAAGAGTTTGAGAAGACTAATCAACAATTTACTAAACGCTTAAGAGTGTTTTGCTTTAACAACGCTCTTTTAACGACTCGAACAACTCGTAGAACACGCGTTCAATAGTCGGGCGCAATTTATCGGAACTCTTAAATTATATAACAGCAAAAATTATTCAATAGCGCCGCTCTCGACTAAACGTTGCAACTGTCAAACTTTAAAGAGCGCCGTGACACTCAATCGAGTAATTACGGTACCTGCAATGGGTTTAATTCTTATTTGGGATTGACACTTGACGTCACTACACACACACTCCACATTTCCCACAAAAGTGCTATTGGCGAGATTAGCCACAGGGCAGTCAGGCAGATACGGCAGACTTCTCACTGGAACCTTGGAAGAACAAAAAAAAAAATAACAATAATAATCAAAAGAGAAAAAACAGCGAAGTACTACGAGTTAACTTGTCGTCAGACCGTTACTATAACCAGCCAGAACAGAACTCTCTTTTATAGCACCTTGGTAGACAGAAATGAAGTAAAAACGCTAAAATAACTTCCTAATGGTTGCGAGACTTACAATTACTTAGAATTAATCACGGATTACACATCACATTTGCTTTACCTCTCCGCTCCAACTCGTGGTCACTTTAGGCTCGGCTGCCTTAAAGTCTTCGTCACCCAAAAACTTTCCGCTCTCGTCAAACACTTTCAAGAACAAGCCCTTAACGATGGAACCGGCAGGAGCCGTCAGCTCTAAACAATCTCTACCCTCCTTGGAATTCTTATCCACTCCATTCGCCGTCGTCATTTCGTTCTGGTTTCCTTCACAGATCATCACTTTATGCGGCAAAGTGCTGGGTAGAACTTTAATGGAGAACTGTTTTAACTCCTTCAAAGTTTCGCTTACGGTGAGTTTTCGCCGATTACTGTCCACGACCACAAGGGATATTTTAACCTTGACAGTGCAAGGCGCTTTGCCAGGAGCAAGTTTCACCTTCATCGGGGAAAATCTGCCTTGTCCGTGCTCTATGTTGGCGAGATGCGGCCCGGTGATAAATGCCTCGCATTCGGCGTGAAGCTTCGTTCTTTTGTCGCTCACAGAACATGGTTGACTCCACTGGTCCAGGACCTGAATCACGAACTCAGGGAATTCTTCGTAGTTAGGAACTTCGGTTGTTTCGAACTGGGGAAGTTTTACAGTTTGTGGTTGACCTGACAGCGACAAAAAAAAATTAGCACAACTGAGAAAATGCGATTTAACGTCCATGCAGGGCCTAGAATGTTATGAAAGAATCATTACTGCGACAGTTGCAGCTTCTTCACGTGAACTCACTTAAAATTTTCGCCATTCCGTTCTTCAGTCTGCCAGTAAACAATCAGAAATGGCCACGCACACATTGAATTTACCGTAACATTTGATAAATGAACAAAAAGGTAAACCAACTGGAGCGCAGGTTAAAGCTAACTTGCTCTGTACAGTTAATACCAAACAACAAACTATTCCCAGCGTTCTTAATAAGTCAAAAGCCTTGACGTTCAAGCAACAAAACAACTGAAGTCAATCTCCTTATCTTATTTTCTCAGACACATCTCAGTTCATAATCCTCAAATTAAGAGCTTCAGAACGCAGTAATCGCATCACCGGTAATCTTAAATCCCGACATTAAAGCATTTAAGGAGGAGGAACTCTTTTATGTCTAGCATTCTGAAAAAGAATAGCATAGCTCTTCTATGGCAAAGATAATAGCGATAGTCTCAGCTATTTTATTTAAACTGACAAACAATAGCTATGTCTGAAAACGATCCCAGCTATTTTTACAAAGACAGAAATAAACCCTTCCGTTGGGGGGGGGGGACTCCCATATAAAAAGGACAGGGGGTCCTCGTCATACCTTTTAGGAGTTAAAAAAGCGGTTTTGGTAGCTATTAGGGTGTACAACCTCTAAAGGTCCACAGCGGGAGCTGATACCTCTAAGGGGCGGAAAAAATTTCAAGCCACGCCCACAAAACGGGATCTTCGTACCTCTTAGGAGTTCTTGTCAACATTTCCGACGAGCACCCCGGTCCCTTTCATATCGGATAAATTTCCCCACGCCCCCCCCCGGGATAAAACCTTCAAACAATTCCTGCTTGCACCGTTCTTACCTGCTTTGATTTTCACCGGAAACGTCACATAATTACTGTAATCAATTCCAGTGACGTCAACTCGGACCATCTGATCGCGCCCATACTGCACCTTGCCCGAGGCATTGGGAGTCAAAGTTATACCGCTGACCTCAACTACTCCGTCGCTGTTCGGCTTGTACTTGTCCTTAACGCCTTGCACGTCCAAGTTTGGGCATGTCACTGTCAACTTGACGAATTCCCCGGAACTGAACACTGTCGCCGGGTTGTTTTTGCTGTCTTGGAATAGGAGCTTAAACTTGAGGGCTGGTTCGCCCAGCCCAAGACGTGGAGTTTCTGTTCGTGAAGGCTCGGTAAGAGTGAAATGGGAAGCGATGTTGGCTAAGAAGAGAAAGACAAAACAAGATCAGATTGCTATATTACCTAGTATTTGTTTGGGAGGCGCAGTGGCCCCATGGTTAGTGCGCTCGCCTCAGGATCGAGCAGTCCAAGTTCGATCCCGCGCCAGGGACATTGTCTTGGGTTCCTCGGCAAGACACTTAACTGTCACAGTGCCTCTCTCCACCCAGGTGTATAAATGGGTACCTGCGAATTCAATGATGGGGGTAACCTTGCGATGGACTAGCATCCCATCCGGGGGGGGGGGAGTAGAAATACTCCTGGTGGCTTATGCCACAGAAACCGGAGATAAGCGCCGGCCTGCTGGGCCCCATGGCTCGTGACGTAGGCAGTATTTGTTTGACGTTTGGATGCTCGAGTTGTAAATAAGAAAATCAGCAAGCTAAGTCTTGACGGAGCCTAGTGCTTCAACAGGCTGGAGCATATCTCCGGTTTCCTTAGCATGAAGTGACTGGAGGTATTCCCTGGATGGAATGATTATCTACGACCATCGGAGGATAATATGCAGGTTTCTTCAACTGAATTACTTCCAGACTCTGAAGCCATTGACTAACCTTTGATGACAATGTCGAATTGTGTGAAAGCCATTTCCCTCTCTCCCAGCATCGCAATGTACTTGAGAACGTAAGTTCCCGCCACTGACAACCCGAAAGGCTTGAAGCCGAACTTCTCTCCGTCATGGGGTTGGTCATTCTGAATGGGCGCCATGTTTTCTGGTCCCTCTATCACTTGACGAACGGACAGTTTCTTGTTGTGCAAGGTCACTAGCTGTTTGGGCGGTCGCTCGCCGTTGAAGATTTTCACCCAGAAGCCGGTAAAATCCTTCTGTGTTTCACCTGCCGACCACTGCAACACTGTTTTGGACGTGATTTCATTGCTCATGTTGTCCTTGTACACTCTGACTGTCAACAAGATCAAAACCAGTTTGTAATTACATGTAGCAGCTATTTCTTTGGTAACGCAATTCGCAACGCTTCCTCAGAAGAAAGTGCGTCACGTTGCGTAACGCAATACTTCTCTCCACTTGAAAAGTGGTCAGGTACTGAGTGACACAATTTACAATTCGTAAAACGTAAATACCGTGAGAACATAAAACAGCATTTCCTGGAATTTATGGAAAAGAGGACAACCTCCCGAGGTATACCAAAGTTGTCGGAACTTTCTTACCGGGAATCTCCGTTCCACTTAATTTTTCTCACGGCATTTTTTGGTTGAATGGTTCGCTTTTCGGAAATTAAACAATTTACGGATTTTCTGGGAACTTTCCAGGAAATTTCCTTTCCATTTGAACCCGTTTTGAAATTTTCACAATTTTAGGTTGAATGGAGCGATTCAGCTTGAGATTTTGTCGATTATCTGTTGTATTTAACGATTAAATCAAAGTTTGTATCCCATTCAATTAGATATTCAAGATGTAAACTTGACAGGGGAGTGAAAGAAAGTAGAGATGTAGGGAGAGGGACTTGATTACTCAAGGACGATGGACAGGGCTAGGAAGGAGGAGAGTCGGGGTGGGTGGGGGAATTATTCAAGGAAAGCGATTATTTCACATCATCCACAAATGGGGGCGATTAATCGAGGATTGGCGATAACCCCAGGAAATTACTGTCTCTCTCGCTAGCGGAGAGACGACTCGCACGACACACAAATGTAAATTACCTGTTTTGGGAAGCATTTGTTTTTCCTGGCTGAATACCTTCTTCAGAGTGTTTTGATCAGGAATTTCTAATATTCTGGAGATAGGCCGTTCTTCTTTTTGAGACGGGTAAACCTACGAATAAAAAAATTGTTAAAATCAGTGCGATCAGTGTGATCGAAATGGGTTTCGATCACAGAAGCGAGTAGTTTGCTGTAGAAACTATTTAACAAAACGCCTACTGTCTCGTCTTTACATACCTCTTCTGGTTGTCGCTGTACAACAACCTTGTCTACGTCATTTTTCTTGCTGACTTTTACAAAGTGCATGACTTTGCCATAGATGATGGGTTTGGTGTCCAGTTTAACAATATCACAAACTTTGTAGACTTGTACTCCTGAACTAGTTGTGACACGTAACACACTGTGAAGCACATCACCTGACCTCGGCTGTTGAGAAGCTGGCAGTGGAGAGTCGAAGCTCACCTACGAAAGACGACAGAAAAATATTCTTTTAAGACTGCTTTATCAATCTTTCAATCTTAATTTTCGTTCTCCAATTTACATTTTTACAGTTACTAGTAGACGGGCCCGCGGATAGGCAGGCCAGTCTATCAAGAACTAAAAACAAACGTTTTATATTGACAGTCGAAAAGAAGCCCTGATCAGTCCGAGGAAAAAGTTTTCTTTTCACGTAAAAATAAAGCTCGGGACACACTAGTTCGGGGAGACTTGAAGCGGGGACAAGTGCCTTCGTGTGTACACATAGGACGCATGTTGCAGGGATAGTAAGCAAGCTGGTGCACACGAAGCGGATTGAGGCATTAAAATGGGTCCTAGCGGAGACAGTTTGCGAGAGCAGCGTACATGATGCCACATTGAAAACTGAGGTCAACTGGGCCTGTTTCATGGCGCACGAATACAAACTTGCTAAACTTCGTGTTGTGGGGACAAAAGTCTGTCCCCCAACAGTACCTTTTCACAAAAACGGACATGTCACACAAGGAAAACTATGGCTGCATCATGTCCTTACGCTTCATGTCCCTTCAACATGTCCCCTAGTGTCCTAACACCAGCCGCGTTAATTGGCTTGCACGAGTTTTCCTGCGGTTTTTGCAGACTGCACATTTTACGTTGAATTGTGATAAGCTTAATTAATTATTGCAATCACTGGGATACTGTTCTGAATACAATAAACACTGTGTAAAAGAAGAAACATGCCAGCAGAATAAAGTCATGGCGCAACGCTTAAACATCGCTGCGTGCGTAGTTTGAGACCTACCTCTTTATCCAGCTCTCGATGGCATTTTTCCAGCCATGATCTGAATTCCTGGGGCAGTCTTCTTTCAGTTGACGCATCTTCCAGGGCACTGGATAAGTCCTTTCTCTCGTCCAGCAGGATCTTCAGTTTGTTGTTAGAGACAGGTGTATGTCTGTTAAAGAACAGAATTCCCTTGAGCCTGCGATAACAGCTGTCGGGCACTACATCTTTCTGCTTCTTTGATCGTTGAGCTGGAGAAGTGCAAAATTCCATCCTATGGAGACAATAGTGTTGTTATGTAGAGGAAACTACACGGCGACGCCAAAATATGAATTTCATTTTCGAGTGGTAAGCCAATATTTTACGAAGGAGCACAGGGACTATAACTGAGAAGAAAATGGAGAAACAAAATAATAAAAATCGATGCTAACTATTGGCCATCGCGGTTTGGATTTTCTTGGCTCTTGGTTTTTCTTGGAAGTCCGATGCAAAGAGTGGTCAGGTTGCTGTAAACAATCTTTTTTTTTTTAAATAATTGAAAGAGTTCCCTATTTCAGATTTATCGGCATGCACGGCACGACATGAACGCCTTACTTGTGAACATAGGAGAGAGGAGCCAGTCTTCCTTGCCAGAAACACTCAAATATAGGCTCTTGTGCATCATCTTCAAGGTCAGTTGACCGAGGAAGAGTCTCGTGTCCTGCCTCATGAGGAAAATACATCAATACCCCCTGAAAAATACACAGATATACAGTCTCAAAGGAATTCCAAGTTTCGCTAAGATTTAAGCGAAATTTCGAATGAGCCAGTCTTAACCAAACTTGATGTGCCTCCCGTGACTGGTTTAACAACTTCTGCAACACGTGGTCTACCAAAGCAATCACGGTACATGCTGTTCTCTCAACCAATCAGAAGCGAAGGCAATGCCTTGGCTTAAGCGAGTTTTCCCGCGCTTACCGCGGGTTGCACGTTTTGGCTTCACATTTTCATTGGCCCATGGCAGTATTTGCGCCTCTTCTGATTGGCCAGTGAATCCTTACGTTCTAAGTTTACAAAAGTCATCAAAAACATACCTGGACAGTTTGATGAGGGTCCAAACCAGGAACCTTCATTGTCAACGAAAACGGGAACCATTCCTTGGCTCTGGTCTGGTACAAACTTTCCAGATCATCATCGATTTCACGAAGATTAAAAAAATTCTTTTGGTTGGAATTTCTCCCATCGTCTATCACCAGCCTTATATCCACCTTCAGGAAAGAACTCATTCCTAACTCCATCTGAATACAAAGAAAGCACACAGATTAACTCAGTTACAGTGGAACCTCTCCACAACGGCCACCTTGGGGACAGGGCAAAGCGGCCGTTGTAGAGAGGTCGCCGTTAAGGGGGCGGGGGGTAGGGGTGCAAAACCACACCTGTCCATTGTTTTTGTTTCTTTTGGGGGGGAGGGCAAACTTTTTTTGTCAAAAAACGTTCATTTATTTATGCAGACATAAATCAAAATGTATCAATAACACAGAAACTTAACAGAAACAGAGACCGACGAAGCGCGGTACGGATCGGGTTTGGTGACCTTTTTCCGTTATGGGGAGGTAGAGGTGCAATATGACACCTGGTTTTTTTTTTTTCGTGGGTGCAACATTTTGTTGCCAAAAATACTTATCTTGGCATATATAAATCAAAATGTATCAATAAAACTGAAACGGAGCCCAACGATGCGCAGTACAGATCAAGTCTGGTGACCTGTACTTCATAACTGTGAAGATTTCTTTCACTAGGCTATTGATCATCAGGCCACAGTATACTTACAGGGATTCTGGAGTTACTCAAGGCGGGTAACTTCATGTTGCCTGTACGGCCACGCTCACCAAACAAGTAAAAGTGGTAGACATGGGCGAGGTTCCGGGCCAGACTGCTTCCACCATCCTCACGGATGGAATTGATGTGAATGTCACGTATGCCGGTGATAATAATCATGGTGAATTGTGAGAATGCCGCCTCCCTTTCAATCTGTGAACAAAAAAACATTTGTCTCATCGTTACATTTTATCATTTCTCTTTGTCTCCTCTGCCGCCATTGTTAATTTGTCTTCCAACACTTCTCCCTATTGGCTAAACCGTGCACAGGAAGGCGGTTCGGGTTTACGCCAAAAAGCGTTGTTTGACTACCTAAGTAACAGCTACCAAATGACTAAACGTCTCGATGGCTTAGTATTATTTTAATAAGTCTCGTTTTCAATGTTATTTTTCTTGTTGTACATGTATAAGCCACCTGAAATCCTCAAGGACTTGTCCTGTGCTTGAATTTAAGGATTTTACCATTTCTACGAGATATGTTAGTTAGGACCCCACCCCTGCCATACATAAAAGTCTGTAATTCTCACAATATCTTTCAGACATCTCTCTTCTTCTCCTGGTTGCAATGTGGATGTGTCACTGGGATTTCTTATCCATCTGTAGTCCTCAAATACAGGCTTGCCTTCCTTTGCTCGTTCTTGAAGCTTTTCCTATCAGGACACGTAACAAGACATGAATAATGACATACTAGGTAATCAGAGCTTTCAGTAAGTTTGTGTTAAAGCAAGCATTGAAAAGGGAGTCTAAGGTGAAACCCTTGCCAGTTAGCTCCCTTCCTCCTACATCTCCCCTGCTTCTGAATGGAGATAAATTTCTTTCAGTAAGTCTGTAAGATGCAAACTCCAGGTTAAAAACTACTGACAACTTCTAGCTCAAAGTGTACAAAATAGGAATACCTCAACATAAAACTCTGTCCTATAAATGAGAGATCACTTTACCTTGGATATCGCAATTTCAGTCACATATGGGCATTCCTCCCTCTTGGTAATAACTTTAATACGGTCACCAAGGTAGAAGCCCTGGAACAGAAGCAATGGTCTGGGTCAATGTAAACAAAGTTGATTTCAAGGCAAGAAATACTGGGGTCTGACATGATTGTCAAACCAAGTATGAACAGTGTTGACTACATGTAGATGTAAGTGATGGAATGATGGATTCAGTCAAAAACTTATTTTGTGAGTTACCATCCACTGCAGGCTTCAAAATCCTGCCAAAGCAAATCATCAATAGCATTCTATTCCTTCACTTTACATTACACGTAATGTTTGATCAGCTGGCCATTAAGACGTCATTAAGGTACACTCTGTGCAGCAGATGGACTACCCTGGACATTCCAGGCAATCGATTGCCCAAGAGTCCTCTCCTATTTTTCCCACACAATTCTTTGAGCTGCTCCTCGACCAACCAAACACCTGGAATCGGAAATGGGTGGACAGCACCTTCTGCATCCTCAGTCAGATTGGCTTCACAACAATTTTTATCATCTACACACAGTTTCTCTTTATTAGGGACAGACCATTAAGTTTTTGAGAGGGAGGGGATTGGGCGATTTCAAAACAAGATTCCTGCACAGCAAACATTGCTGAAAAAAATTGTGCAAGTGGAGCCATGGGGAAAACACTGAGCAAGTACTTTCTACTGGGCACCATTATTTTGATTTTTGATGTTAGGAAAAATTGTTGCACAAGCCACTGTCAACCAAAAAAAACATGCACAACCTACAGGTGGGAAAAAAAAATATGCTCCCAAAAAATTGCCCAGCCCCTGCCCCTCCCCACTCAAAAAAATAATGGTCCATCCCTTACATGGATTATATTGTCAAACACACACTGTCAGGTGACTGTGTCACAACACTTACTGCTTGCGTAGCTCCCACACCAAACTTGGATATAGCACCATCCAAATATGCAGGTATAAGATCTACCTCCTCTTTTTCCAGGCCACGATCAGCTTGTGATAAAAAGTAAGTGGCAAAGGCTTTTAGTCCCTCATACGTCATACCTTCTCCGTTGTCAAATATAGCCACTAATTTCTAGGAAAAAAGACAAAACAAAACATATGTTATAAACAGCAGGACTTGATTTACTTTAAATTGTTGTATCTCTCATCAACTCCACACACTGTGATTGGTCAATTTGGCTGGATGAGCTCTACTTATGGCCCACTAAAATTTTAAGCTATTTTTGTAACTAAAATGTCTTGTAATTTAATGCCTTGAGTGTTCTTAACTTTCATGGCAAATAAAAATTTAGAATTTTTGTTTTTTTAATGACTTTACAATTTTGAATTGTCATACATCCACAGAGTCATTTGAAGACATCCCACATGACTAGAAATTGTTTCCCAAACTCATCAGACACCAAGTAGAGATATCATAAATATCTTACTAACTTACTTACTCACTTACAGATCCTTGTTTTTCTTCCATTGATTTATGACCTGTGCACTTTGCGCTTCGGCTATAAATCAACTTAAGGGAAAAATGTGGTCCGTACATGTAACTTATAGTATGGACCACTCAGTCAGTAAGAGGTAATACACATACTGCTAGGATAATGTTCATGAAGGTGAATAAGAGAAAAAGTGGCCATGGTAAATTAACCTTCAGTTGGTAGATTAAAATCATATCTACCAAGAATTATTAATTTTAGACTATACAGCCATGCAATCAATTCCATTTTTAAATGCATCAAGATTAACATTCAATTACATGTATTCCTCCTTAGAATTGAGAAATGCTACATGTATGCCTTACATCTCTAAGGAAGATGTGTATGTCTATCGTTCTTTCCATGTCACGGCAGTTGTTCGTACTTGTGGCTTGTATGCTGTTGTCAATAAACTCACAAAATGCTTGATAACTGGCTGCAAACAGAAAAAAAGATAACACTCCATGGATGGGAATTATGTGTACATGTAAAAGTAAGAAAGGAAAAAATACTAGATAACCTCTGCATCAACAAGGACAATGTTGAAAAATACACAAATTTAACACAACAATCTCATGATGCCATTGTAAGAAAAATTAAGTCTGTGAAACTTGATAATTTCCCTAGGTGTTTGTTTTAGAGTGAAATTTCAGCTGGTGATTACAACCACTCCCATCAGCTGGTGAAATTAACCAGTAGCCAGATCTTGGCTACATCCCGGAAAGAAATTATTGTGTGCGACAGTCACCATTTCAACTTCTATGAACTACAATGAAAAGTTGTTTAGTGAGTTGGAAGGAAAGGAAAACTTGATGAGCAAGTAGATAAAGATTCTGGTGTTTTAAGCCATTTATGTCCCTGGATTGTGCCCAGACTGTGCAAGACACCTTACTCTCACAGTGCACAATTCAATCCTGTTGTACCAGAAGGTATCAAAAAACTTACAAATTACATATGCTGTGAATGGGTGCAAAGAGTAACTTACAGTATCATGTTATAGGAACAGGAGTTACTTGGAGCTGGCCATCCTTATTAGCACTATCGCTTTATTAGCAACTAATTTCACTGGTAATTAAACAAGGCCTGTAGAAATCTTGATTTCCAGCTTTCCCTTTGGACAAGTAGTTATCAAATTTTGCTTGCCCTGGGCAAGCCTTAGTTTGCTCTTTATGGATTTAGTTGGCAGACGACTTGCCTGGGCCCTTGCCCATCAGTCAAGTGAGAATGAAAAGTTACTTGCCCACCGGGAAAATCAACCCGTCCCTGACGACTGGACAGCACTTTTTTCAAGCCCCGTGAGAGCAAACTATTCCTTACCACTAAAATGGTAATTGCCACTTTGAGTGAGTGCATTTGGGTGCACATCATAGCGCATCAATTCAGAATGCGGCTTGTCCAGTTTGACAGCATCTTGCTTCGAGCCACGTACCTGAGAATGGATGGTACAATACAAATTTATAATTTACTTCAGCGTACAGCAAAAGCTAATTCTTGTAGTCACATCTGTGAGACTTTTACAAAGGGTAGAACTTGCTGTGGTTTTATTCCAAGCCCTGAATTCATGTGTTCAGCTCCAGTTGAAAACTGTGGTTTAAGGCAATTAATTTGAGACAAGATCTTCACTAAACTGGAGCTAATAGTAATAATAACCTTTATGGTGTTTATCACATAAAGGCTAGTGGGGCTGAGCAAACAAATGAAACAAATAATTCAAACTGAGGATAACATTGTTACAGTGTGAGAATCGCAACTGGCCAGAGGTGAACCAATTGGCTATTTACAAGCGTGGCCAAGGATTTGAACTCAGGGCTGCTATGAAACAAATACAAGTAGTGGTCAGAGTGGGACTCAAACCCTGGACTGGTGAATTGTGAGTCCAACACACTAAGCATTTAGCCTTACCACCGCCATACAGAACTAGAAACTAGGGCCCAACCTGTGCTGTAAACTCACACATTAAAGAAGTTAAACAAAAATGATGCGTCGCCAAAAAATTGTTCAGCTAGATAATTTTCTACATGATTGCAATAAATTAAAGGAAAATGTAATTATATCTCACCAGACACCACGTTTCAAGTCTGCTGTTTTTAACTTGATGAAAATTTCCCGTGTCCAGTTCATTGAAATCTCCATCACTAATAGTAAAATGCTAAAAAAAGAAACAAAACAGGAAGATATCTAGAGTGTGAAAGGGCAGTTATATGCTTTGGGAACCTACATAAATTTATACACAATAATCACTCAATAGATGCATGTCCCAAAAAGTATACATGTCGAAGCACATGCATACATGTACACAAGAATTTGAATTACAGCCCTAATAATATGCACATGAAAAAATTACTCGATTCTGATTGGATGAGAGCAGTGCAGTTCAAGTGTAACATCAGTGCAAAAAGTGTAACACCAGTACAAATTACACATCGTAATTCTGGATTATGATTGGCTGAAAGACAATAGGAAATTTTCCAAGCTAATGATATCACGTAAAATGATGACGAAAATTTTGGGCAGAAACTTTGAAAGAAGTTTTCACGAATGAGAAAAAATGGCTTCAAAAAAGATCTTCCAGCACTTTCAACACGCAAATTTTTTCATGTTTATGTTATTAATAATACACATGAAAAAATTACTCGATTCTGATTGGCTAAGAGCAGTGCAGTTCAAGTGTAACACAGTGCAAAAAGTGTAACACCAGTGCA